AGTTAATATCAGGGGAAAAAAAATAGAAAAAAAATAGGAAAAATGAATGTCTGTTTAAACTGTTTTTATTCCAAGAAAAAAACGTGATAACGTGAGAACAGGGCCAGACTTCCATGGGGGAGCTCTAAAGATTATACATCAGTTAATATAGGTATACTGCCCTGAGAAATTATACAATTACAATTTGACTTCTAATACTTTGCATGGAAAACAAAGTCATTTATTCCAGTATCAAAAACATCTTCTCATTTCCTCCAGAAGTAACCCTATAGCCTTGTTTTATTTCAGACGAAACTCTTGTGCAGGGCCAGTGATTGTTATAATATTAAACTAATTATTTTTAAAAAAGGATATTTTCTATAATATTTCACTGGAGCACTATTTCAGCTTCAGATTCCTGTTTTTGGTATAGGAATGGATAGGTGAAATTTAGAGATCAGAATGAGCAGCTGTAGCACAGTCCCTTTTTTTAAGTATTAAGATCTATGGGCTCCCAGATGAGCACAGGTAGTTTACCTGTTCTGTATTCCCGAGGAATATGATTTCTTTGACTGTTCATAAAGCAACTGGATCATTCTTGGAAATGTCGATAGATACCAAAGATTTTGTAGTTTTTAGCATAATTAGAATCATAGAATCATAGAATCACCAAGGTTGGAAAAGACCTAAAAGATCATCCAGTCCAACCGTTTCACCTATTCCCAATAGCTCCCAATTAACAATTTGTCTTAAATTTGTCCTAAAAATCATCCCAGTCACTCTATGGAAAAATTATCATGTGAATTAAATGACCAGTGTCGCATCAATAAATAATGAAAAAAGCAAATAGCTGGACGCCATAAAAATAATTCTTAGACTGCAGTCATGTGAACAGCATTAATGAATGTACTCAAATATTGATTCAATCTGAAATAAAGAATGAGTAAAAAAAAAAAGAGGAAGAAGAAGAAAAGAGGGTCACACTTATCAGGTGATGTATTTGTGTGAACATTTCCATCCAGCATAGCTAGTGTATTTCTGTCTGGAGGCTGATGCTTTCCTGTTTACATTCGGCTCACACCTTTCCTGAAGCCCAGAAGCCTGTTCTTAATTCCTTCTCTGTTGCTGTGGCTCCTAAAACTGCTTTATGGCTTTTATGCTGTCATATTTACTTGCACTAAAAGGTACTACAAAGCAATTTGCAGTCATGTATGGCATCACTTTTCACGTATCACCATATTAAAGAGCCTTGTAACATTTCCATTTTAAACCCTCATTTCAGGTTTTACAAATCCTGCCTGCTTCTAATTACGTCAGGCTAAAGACAAAGGTGCAAATGTTAACCTTACAGACAGATTTACAGAGACAGAGGAAAGGGTAGGAATTTATTTTAAAATATGAGGTATCAGAAATGACAGTGATTTTGCATATTCTTTTTTTTTTAATAGTAGGCTTTAGCTTCTGGGAGAACACAAAATTTCTGATTAATCATGCTCTAATGGGAGATAATTTGAGTAAAATTAGAGGAATCATAGTATTAAGAAGTAGAAGGAGTTGACTAAAATTTGTCAAGTTTGTTTCTGTTACTTTTTTTTTTTTTTTTACATTGTTGTACATAAAAGAATGCAGATGATTGCTTGAAGGGATTCAGAGCTGAAATAGAGATATAGACTGAAGAAAATTTTTCTTTATGAAGTGTATGAACAGTGACTGCTCTGGAGGTTAATCAAGGCAAATGTCAGGGCTGAACTGCAAATAGGTGCTATCAAATTCGTGGTGTATTAGAAACTACTATGGCTTTACAGAGTGTTGGCCTTATCTTTGTCTACTGAAAATTGATATCTTTCTATTAAGTGAATGAAATGCAGAAACTGCTGGTTCCTGGAATAGTGAAACACTGAAGTAAGCTACCTGGAGACTAAGGAACAGTTTTCATTTGAGGTTTTGGATAGTCAGCTAGACAGTGCTTTCTTTGCCTGTGCAGTCTGTCTGGCGCAACCCAGAAAGAAAGTTGATTTGGGGACTTTCTGAGAGAGTATAAACCATACAAACCCATGGGGCTTGATGGCTGCCTCCAGCAAAAACACTAAGAGAGCTGGCCACGTTACTGATTATCATATATGAAAGGCCATGAGGGTCAAGGAGTTGTCATCCAGGTTAGAATATTACAGTGCAGATGAGCAGACTGCTTGATAGGTAACAAAAGGGTTGGATGGTGGAAGTCAGAGGGTTATGGCCAGCATGTTGCTGACTGAATGCCAGCCAGTACCAGTTGGTGCTGCATGGGACTTGTTCAGGACTGGTCCTAACACCTCCGCCAATAACTTGGAGGAGGCACTAGAAGTTGCTTTGCTGTTGTTTGCAGGTGACACCAAGCTGGGGACCAGCAGATAGGCAAGGGACAGGCTGGCTTGGGTGCTGTTAGCCAGAGGCTGAAACAAAGTTGTACCGTCTTAGTTTTCTCCAAGCCTCCTCTAGTCCTCTTGTTTACAATGCAGCTTTACTTGATAATTATTGCAGTCTGTTTAATCTTTCTTTGCAAGTGAATTGCTGTGCATTGACCAGTGCCAAGGGGCAGGAAACATCACGCCAAAGAACTGTCTTTCTTTATTTTGTCTTTCAATTTGATGCTGTTCCCTTCCCATCCCTCAAGCCTTGGTAAATCTCATAAAATCCTTTTCAGATTGAAATCCTACTCTTCCCAAGCTGCACCATGTTTTGCAGGATGTATTCCTCAATAGTTGTGTTATTTTCTTGCTGACAGTCTTTAGGTACCAGTTTCTCTGGCTGGTAAATGTATTCCTTAGTATTAAACATATCCATTTGTTTTGTTCAGAGCAACATACAAGGATAACAGATTTGCTCTCAAGTACCTGACACTGCTTCTTAACTCTTTTTGCCATGCCATGTTTACACAATATTGAATCCTGGGGATGCCTGGAAGAAGTGAATGACTTTCTGCCCACTTACATGTCTTCCAGAAGAGCCGCAAGCTGCCCAAATTTCTCTTATAAACTCACTTAATGTAGATGTTTTCATGAAAGGTGTTCCAGTAGTTTAACAGATTTATTCCAGAATATGATAATAAATAGTAGTTTCAAATGTCAATTTGAAGACTTGCAAATGTAACTATATACATGCATAAGATCTGCACATAAATCAGTGCAGTAAAATAGCTTTGTAAATATTTATGAACTCAGAGCTCGTTGTTCCACACTTAGCCCTCCAATGTCCTCATCTTAAATTTTCACTTGCTTTAGTTTATGGTTGGTAGTCTGGACAGAGTACCTGACATTGTTAAATAGCCTCCTGTTTTCTCTGGGCATTGCCCATACCACAGTGGTAAATCTTTACTGACTGCAAGTGAATGTGCGAGCTATAAAGAGAGACCCGTCTGCATGCAGGGATGGATTCTGCACTCTGGTGGATCCTTGTGAAGTTCAGCAAGCCACATCTTGCCAGACTGAAGCTCAGCCTGAATTTGTCCGTGTGATCTCGTGAAGGACCAGACAGAAAAGAATCAGAGCAGGGTGCAGCAAAGTCTGCCAAGGACTGCAGAAAGTTATCCACGCAAAACTCTGCTGCTGCTTCTATGGCCGTGATCGTTGCCCAAGGCTTCCCAGTATTTCAGTAGCCCTGAATTAAAGGGGGAATTACCTTTTTACTCCATTCATAGCCACAGTCACAGGTGAGGGCAGAGATATGCACCCATATTGGTATCGTTGTTTTGCAAGTTTTAGAAAGTTGCGCACGTCATCACTATCCCCATTTGTGACGTACTATCTCTGCAATTCCCATTTACTCTTTGGTAATCCACATCAAAATCTCAGACTTAGTTGCATTTTTTTTCTTTAACTAGTAGCAGATAGCACCATGTTAATTGATACAGTAATCAGAAAAAAAAAGATAACCCTTCTGATAAATTTCTAGTGCCTGTTCATCTGAATCACTGAAATTCCTTAGTGACCAGTTAGGACTGAGACAAGTGCTGCCATTTTTCTTTAGCCTACTGACTCTCCTTTTTGGGATGCAACCCCCAAGAGGGCTGAGAACACCGCTGTGCACTGCTTGTAGTTTTGCGGTCTGAACGGGGGAATTTAGGATGGAATTTAGGATGAATTCTTCACATGAAGCTGGTTTCTGCTGCCTCTGGAGAGGCCTTCATAGATCAGGGTACAGAGATCCTACTGGGCGTGCTTCCCATGTGTTTCTGTGTCTTCACCGAAGTTGTGTGAAATCAGCAGAAAAAGGGATTTGGGGTGTGCAGGCATTTTCCATGATGCTTACTTATTCACATTTCAGACTTACGACATTTCATAAGTGTCTTGAGGGGAATTAATGATGACATTGCCCTCCATCTACGTCCTCAGGAAAAGAGAACACAGTTCTGCTTTCATCTCAACATATGTTGTTCTGAAAGTAACTCCAGTGAGGTTGATGGAAAACTTCTGCTTCTGTGAAATTGAGAAAAGGAGTTTTTCCTCATGCTAGCAAACACCTTGCCTATATTCATGAGCCGAGTCCAAAATATTTCCTTGTACATGCATTGCCAGTTCTTTCTGCAATAGGGAGCAGCAAGCAAACCTTCAGAAATGATGACACACTTGGTGTCGTGTGCAGTCCTTTTCCTTCATCTTACAGGATCTAGGACAGGTTTTCCTATTGAAGCTTCCTTGGAAAAATTATACCTCTTCAGGGATGTAGGATTGTGAACGACCTCTGTTTGCAACACTAAGTACAGTAAATGCTATTGTGCTATCCAACAGTAGCAAATGAAATAATCCCACTCCAGTCACTTTCTAACAGGATAATGTTAAAGGCATTCCTTTGAGATAGAGAGTAATAATTTTCTAATTCCCCTCAGTATTTTATGCTTCTTGGTAGAGCATCTAATTTTCTCTGAGTACCTTATTAACATTCACAAGGACCTTGCAGTCCCACCCTAATAGCTCTCCACAGAGGCAGTGACTGTGAAGGTGAGAGCCGACCCAGTGACGCATTTCCCTCCCTTTTCTCCGCAGGCTGTATTATCCTGACTTCCATCCACTGAGGGCTGTGCAGCTGATGCGAGTGGGCAAACTGCAGTACAGTCAAGGCATGTTACCTCAGGCACTGGAGACCTTGAAACAGGTCAGTACTTTGGACTGCTCCTTCTTTCTCCACCCCTTTGCTAACCCCAAACCCACTGTGGATTCCCTTCCCTCCTGTCCTGATTGTAATTTGTGCCTTTGAATATTTCTCACCACTTTTTCTATCATTGGTGCTGCTTCCTCAAGCTGCAGCTGAATGCAGTGATGGGTCACTGTTGCAGTGTTTCAGGGACTGCTTTTCTTTGGTATCAGTCACTGCTAATTACAGTTTGATAGCTCAGAGGTGTCTGAGTGAAAAATGACTATTAGATCTAAGAGATAAAAATATCTCAGTGCCTTCTGCTCTCCTTACCATAGAGTAGAGAATCCGGGACCGATGAAAGTAAAGAGCAGGAGCAGAGCTGTGGTTTCCACCCTCTTTCTTCCCAATAGGTATCTGTGATTTTGGATAGAAGAACTTTGCCTTTTAGTGCTTGTATTTTATCGTGAGCAACACCATCAACAGGCATGCTTCTCGATCCCTTCTATTTCTGCATCATTCACATCTTCACTCTGTTTTTGCCGTTGTTTTCAAGTTGCTTTTCGGTTTTAAGCTATCCAAAACTGATTTTGTATTCATTTCCTCCTACCCTAGACTATTTGTCCTGTCATTATATTGCTGTTACTACCATCTTAAATACATTGAAGAATCCCCTTTCAGGAGTGATGTGTCTTCAGAACATGGGCTCACTCACTTCAAACCCTACATCACTGCTGGGGTATTTTTCTCCTCCTGGACAACATGCTGCTTCAAGAAATGCCAGGCTCATTCATGTGTGTTACCAACTCCCTTTTGCTGAAGTTAGCCTGAAGGCAATACCAGTTCTATGAGGTTCTCTAGCTCATCTTCCTGCCCACCTCTGGTGCCTGATTGAGGCTCTTTAATGCCTTAGCTCAGTGCTGCAGACGGGAGCAGGCCCCAGGGCTGACAGTTGGATGAAGCTGGTGCCTTGCTTTAAGTTGATGTTTTGCTCTTGTCTGGATCTCCTTTAGATAACATTCATGACTCTATAGATAACTTAGCATTTTGTGCTTGCTTTCTTTAAGCCCCATATCTATTAGGTTTTAACATCTGATCATTTATACAAACTGGATAACTGATAATTTTCACTTGTTTAAATAATAAATTTGATTTTTTTTACTAAATCCCAGTAACTTAAATCTTCACTTGATAGATATTTAGCTTAAATTGTGGCCAATTCTGATGATTAAGAAGCTGATGTGACAGTAATCAATTATATTTCCCATTCATTATTCAGCAATAAGCTATATATCTGTCATGTGCCAGGTAATCTGCTGTGCTATTTCCCCTGTCATATTTATAATTTCCAAACATTCAGACCTTCCTTTTTAGCAAGCAGTGGGCTCCCAGACAGAGGAGAGATCTTCATAGAGATTTCTGCAATACATCAACAGATGTACTTCTAGTAGCTTTTCTAATGTGATACAGCATTAAATGAAAATGGAGTTAACTCTCCTAGAGCCATCTCTGTCTACATCTACATCTTTGCTGCTGTCAATGAAGGCAGAAGTTGTGATAGCTTTTTGTATGTAACTACTAAGTTGCCCACTGCAATCCAGATTGTTACTGCATTATTCTTCAAGTGCAGAGCCATATTTAACACAGAAACCTTTTTTCAAGCTTTGATATCCTCTATCTAAAAAAAAGGAAAGGAACATGTTGTTTACTGTTCTTGCCATGGATGGTGCATCTCTAATCTTGGTCTCCAAGCCAAAAGGATACAGTAAGGGCTTTGCAGCTGGGATGCAGAGCCACTTACAAACTAATTCTATTGCATCTCCGTCTGCTGCCCTTTCCATCTCCCCCTTTCCACCCCTACATGTAAGTCAGGGAGAGCCTTACCTCCCACTCCCACAGCTGAGCAGAAGGGAAAGGTCCCTGTCACCCTGCATCGCTATGCAACCTGTACACATGGGTCACAGTGCTTCTTTGAGTGGGATCTGAAGCTGATTCCCTTCATTGCTGTCTACACTGAAACAAATTAGAACAAAATATAATTCCCAGTTTGTTGTGAGTAAAGGATGTGATTCCTAATACAACTCAGATAATGTCCTGGGGTTATATCGCAACACAGTTTGGTCTTTTGTGATTAGATGTGTCAACAGAGCATGCCACATGCTCAGAGCAGAAACTCGATTGCCTTCTCTGCTTCATTACTCTTCTTAATACACTCTGACATTGAATAGCACCCTGTTGGAGCCCTCGTCAGACTAATTTCAGTGTGGCATTAAGGAGAAGGATGTGGAAGTTGCAGAGGAATCGAGATCTGAGTGAAATTCACCTCACTCATATAAATCCTGTTTAATCAGGCACAGCCGCAGAGCTACTGTGGTTTGACAGCCCCTCTGCATCAGATGTGCAAATGTGCAGGACCCATGCACCTTCACACATGGCTGTACAGCCTAGCCTGTACTGCTCTTCTCTCTGCTGCCTGGAAGTGAAGCACTAGCACAGCCACTATAATTGCAGAGCCCTTTGGTTTTGTCCCAAAGTGGGCTCAGTAACACCCACATTTGGTATGTGTCTTTGTATACCATAATAGAACTGCAAACTCCCTGTTTTGATTGCCCGTAACCTGAGTGCAGCTGGACTCTGTGAGGATAAGTAGGGTAGAGGGGAAGGCTTGGATCTGATTTCTGACCCCTGCCTCCTTGCAGCAAGTGTCTCTATCCTTCTGTGAGCTGATGGGCATGATTTTTTTGCCTTGTGAAGGCCTGCAGGAGGTATGACATTGTTCCTTTCTTGTAATTCCTGGCATGAGGGCAAAAAGCGTAGGAAGAGGAGGAAAATCACTCCCAGGTTTCACAGCAAGGAAATTTCCTTCTTCTAGATGTTTGCTTCAAATGCTGAAATCTTTACCAGCCCAGTACTGATTGGCTTTGTTGTAGCTCTGCCTGCATTCATAAGGGCCCCCCTCAACAGGGAGACGAGGAGAAACATTCCCTCTTACGTGTCAGCCTTCGCTTTATGCCATCTCAGCTCATGGCCATTTGCTTTCTGCTTTCACTGTGATGGAGTGGAGCCATCCTGCATCTGCAGGGAGCTGTGACTATGGGCATCCCATCCCATCCCAATGCAAATCAGGAGCAAATGACTGTGCTGCATTTCATTTGCATTCATGGAGCAACTCTGTACCACTACTCTAATGGGTTTTATATTCTTCAGGGAGACTGTATAGTTGATGATGCCGCGGCCTCTGCGGCTGCCTTGCAATCACTATAGTTTTTCATAATTAGAATTGTGGTGTGTGTGGTCTTCCTCTCAGATGCAAGAACAAGACTCTGCTCAGCCTTGGCTCTGCTGGTTAGCTGTAAGATTTGGAAGAGTAAAGGGGTGTCAGAGAGTTGGCTTATTTCTCCATACTTTTTATACGCTCTCAGTAACAAAATTTTTGTTTTGGAGGTGAAATTATTCTAAATTTTGTGCTGATTTTTGCAAAAAAATAGCTACATAACTTCATGCCAGTGTACCTTCAGGATTACAGAAGTCATTGTTATTCTGACTTCAGTACAGCCTGGTTCTTACTTGTAGTTCAGTGTATAAGATAGAATATTGTATGAGTATGATTTTCTCTCTGAAGGAGGCAGAACAACAAAGATTGGGTACATTTATCTGCCATACTGAAGAAAGAAAGGAAATGGAAACAAACAGTTGCAGATGAGAGAGAAGTCAGCCATGGCAGTGTTATCTCAAGGTTAGGCAGAAGTTAGGGAATTTTGCCTTACAATAGAGACGTATCATCATGGACATCTCCAGCTGTGCATCAGGCTGCTCAGGACCATAACTACTCACCAGGCTTTTGTCTTGTAAGTGGAATGAAGATCAAGGTCAGCTGCCCTGGGATCTGGCATGCCTGTCCTGGTATCCAGACATGTCCAAATGCACAGCTTGTTAACACAGGCCATTCACAATAGGTCCATCAACTTTCTTGACCAGGCCATCCAAATACCAAATGTGTCTGGATCTGTGGCCAATACACCTTGCCATTTTATCCTGGAGTTATCCAGTCCATACTTTGCCTGAGTGTGGCTACATTGTGCTGCATAGCAGCATGCACAGGCTCCAACCTTCAGCTATTTTGCTCTGCACTATCCTACATTCCTACACCATACCAGCATTCATCTTTCTCTATGCAAACTGTCTCTACCAGGTAAGGACTGGCTCCTACTGCTTTTTATGCTACTTCTTCCATTATTTATATTTATAAAGTTCTTGTGCAGCCTAATACCTTATGCTCAACTATAATACACATAAGGGCCTACTGTTTACAGCATTTCCTTAACATGTTAAATTAGGGAAAACAAACACTAAAAACATTTCAGCAAATCTTCAGGGAATATAATTATGTCTTGAAAATGTTTTGCAAAACATGAAGGGTTTTTTATTTCTCCTAAAACAAAAATTTGCAAAAATTGAAGATTTCAGATTTTGTTTCACATTTCTCAGGCATTTCTAAAGAAAGTGAACGTGGAGAATTTCTTTTGTTCTATTTAACAGTGTTTTACCATGTAGTAGTAAGGCATTGTGCTGCTCAGAAGTTAACTCTGTAGAGCTCTTTGCACATTGATTTGTTTTGACTGCTATTTCAACTAGTTCTTTCAACAGTTTGCCACCTACCTCTTCTTCTAAAAAAGTGGCTAAATGGAAACAAAAATAAGTGATGACAGAATTTCCATGTGCTTGCCCATCTCTAGAAGTTTGAATTTCATTCGTTCCTCCAAAGACTCTTTTTGTTTGAAGCTGTGCATCATTTCTTCATTATAGTCTGAGCACTTAATTCTAGTTGATTCACTAATTCATTTCCACTTCTAGGTCTTTGTGGGTACTAAATATCACATAAATATGACAGTCATTTTTGAAATAATGTATCAAAACTTTGGGAGCCGTAGGTGATCAATCTTAAAATTGCCTTCATGCCTCAGTGCAAAAGCACCTTCTTCTGCTATGCTGCACATCCTTCTATGCAATACATTAGCGAAGATTTAACATCTAAGAATAATGTGTCAGTACTTCCTTCTCTGTCAGAGACAAATTGTTATGGGTTTTGAGATACTTAAGATACTCTACCTTGAACTAAAGCCCGCACCTTGAGAGCTGGCACTTACATCCATGCCCCACTGCAGTTACCAGCCCCCGAACGTGGTCTGCACAATGTCTAACTTGTCCCCTTCTGTTTTCTTCTCCAGGCCTATGATATTATGAAGGTGACCCATGGGACGGATCACAGCCTGATGCAAGCCTTGATGGACTTAAAGGAACAGTGTGAGGTCATCATGAAAGTACACTGAATAAAACTCCAATCTGGAAAGTGAGACATTCAAGGAGAAAGGATATGGAAATCTTTTTGTTATTAGGAAGCTTCCTAATGTGTTCCTAAGTGGTTTTGGTATATTTTCATCAGGTCCTACTTTCTTTACGAAAATGTTTATTGTTTATTAGTTTTTCTCTATTATCTTCTGGATTGAATTAAGGTTTGGAGGAATATGTGATGTTTTCAGAAATTTTTTAACTTCTACAAGTCAAAATGGTAGTGAGTAAGTCTTAATATTTGCTCTTAGACATGCTGATAAAACTACAAACTTAAACATAAAGCAAGGATAAATTTAATTTGTTTTTATTTAATAACCAGAACCTCAAATCCAAGTAGCAGTGAATGTAGGAAGAATTGAGAATCGAATTGGAATCCCAGTGATACACAACACAACTTCCTGCTGAGCTTCTCCCACGTGCTTTCTAGGTATTGATATCTGTATCTTTTCTGTTATCTCTGAATGATCACAAAGTCTAACGGTACATCTTATGCTTGTTGACTAGGACACAGCTATACATTTTTTTGTATCAGACACCTTATTTAGATGGTAACACTTGATTATCCATTTACAACACTTAATTTAATTGATAATAAATACTGAGAAACACATACCATCTTCATTTGCTACAAAATGGTATAATTTCATTGAGATGACCAGTCAATTCTTTGTGCCAGTTTATGCCAGCACTTCAAGATGTAGTCATAGAAATAAGTAGAGAGATCATGTTTTTCCCTTTGACTTCCCATTAGATGTGGTTTCCAAAAGCCAGATCCACTTCTCTTTAAAAGATTCCCAATATTCTAAGTTGCATCTTGAATTTTTAGAGGTGAATTTATATATGCAGTATGTATCTGCATTCAATAAACAATGAGGATGACTTGGTTTCTAGGGTGACTAGGTTGTGAAAGGATCCTTGTGTCACTGTGAAGTTCTTGGGCTGAAGCCAAACCTTTTGCACAGAAGTGCTGCTTGCCTCTGAACCTCCATCATCTACACACTCAGTCAAGTACCTAAAGAAAAGAATGACATCACATTTGCTTCTGCGTAGCAGACAGGTGCACTGAGCACATGCTCAGGAAACTCATAATGTGGTTTGTAGACCTTTCTGAGCCTTCTGAGTTTGGTTTTACTATGCCCACTTTCCCCAAATTGTACTTCAAATTCGAGATTATAGACACTGTAGTACACACTAAGTAGGATTTTCTTCTCAAGCAGGGAAATGCTCACACTGATGCAGCCAGGTGTGGTCACCTCTTCCCCATCCAGAACAGGCAGCGGGCTGAAGACTGGGGCTCAAGCATATGAGCAGTCCAGCATACCAGACCAGGCTCAAAGCAACCTGATCTAGCTGTGGATGTCCCTGTTTAGTGCAGAGGAGTTTGGACTAGATGACTTTTAAAGGTACCTTTCAACTCGAAGGATTCTATGATACTGGTTAACTGTACTTCTAAGAAAATTCACTTCCATGTTTCTGTCAGGCCAACTATATGTCTTTTTCTCTCTTTGCCATCTCCTTTCTACTACCTCTCACCAAGCACACATGACCTTGTGTTGAAGCTGTAAGACCTACAGACATCTGTTGAACCAGGAGATCAGCCCTGGGGAAGAGGAGCATTTCATGGAAAGCATATGTGCTCCATTTGTCCACACTCATTCACAAGGGAATTGCTGTTACCAGAGCTGCTGAATTCCACTTTTAACACAGAAACAAATGTTAACAAAAGCCAAATATTTATGAGGAACATTGAAACCTAGATAATTTAAGGCCCCTGGAAATATCGCTCCAGGTGTGTCTCTCCTCTCAACAATTTATTGCTGCTACTCCAGCCATGACTGTTATTTCATTAATCTGTAGTTGTTATAAAGTCAGGCTTTCTTCACACCAGTCACTTGACACCATTAATTATTATGAGACGGGAACACATTTAAAAAGAAAATGAACACTCTGGGCATAATTTACAGCCCCAGCACAAGAATGCCAACACTGAGGAAGATATCTCTTTTCAAGGCATTTGAATTTGTTCCAGCTTATGGAGTGTTCACTTGCCCAGCGGTAATATGCAAGCAATACCGTATGAAATGCAGTGCACTTCTGGAGTATGTAGCATGGCTTGAGGCCAGAGGCCGAGTCATATCAGCCACTCAAGAAGTGCAATAATCCTGACAGGAATTCACTGCTTGGTTGGGTCTTCTTGCTGTTATGAAAAGGAAATTGTCTGGGAGAGAGTTCAGACCTTTGCATTTATTGGGATTTCTGACAAAGCTATGGCATCATTGATGGACAGTGAGGAAATGTGAGAGGTGCTCAGTCTTTAAGAGCTATTTTCTGATTTTAAAGGGACACATTGTATTTGAAAATGTGTGTCTTAGTGTAAAAATGATATCTGCATTATCTTATGATTCTATATTTACTAATAAGACTTGTAAATGAAAAGAACTTTAGTGTGCGAGCTAAGATGGTGCATTGATTTATACAGCAGGAGATACCCACCAGCGCTCACGGATGCAGACAAGTCTGTATATATGAATTGCAGCACCATCTTTTGGTACAGGACACCACAACGGTGCAAGTACAGCAGTGGGGAGTGACAGGTACTAGGAGAGGGTCAGATTTACCTGGCATCGGATGAGAAAGGCTACAGAGGATCCTGAAGGTATGTGTACTACTATGAGTAGAACTGTAGGGGACAGAATCGTAGAATGGCCTGAGTTGAAAAGGACCACAGTGATCATCTGTTTTCAACCCCCTTCTGTGTGTAAGGTCCCAACCGCCAGACCAGGCTGCCCAGAGCCACATCCAGCCTGGCCTTGAATGCCTCCAGAGATGAGGCATCCACAGCCTCCTTGGGCAACCTGTTCCAGTGCGTCACCACCCTTTGGGTGAAAAACTTCCTCCTAATATCTAACCTAAACCTCCTCTGTCTCAGTTTAAGACCATTCCCCTTGTCCTATCACTACCCACCCTTGTAAACAGCCATTCCCCTTCCAGTTTATATGCTCCCTCCAAGTACTGGACGGCCGCAATGAGGTCTAATCAGTCAGCATTGCCCCAACAATGCAAGCAGCTTGGTTGGCCTTAGGCTAGTACAAGGCTCATGATTTTGAGTCAGGGTCCTGAGAGCACTGTCTTGTTGCCTACCTTGCTTCTCTGGGCTGCTCTGCAGATTCCTTAGTGCAGGGGTGTAATTAATGCTTTCATTATTGTTGATACAAAACTTTCATTTCTTTCAGCTTGGTCAAGGAAAGAATCAGGTGTTCTGGTTGGTTTCAATCAATTATTGAGTGGTTTCATTTGGAGCCTCCCAGCACTGCCACCAGGGCTGCTAGTGCTGTGGGGAGATGTTGCTGGCAGGTTTTCTCTCACAGCTTCCCCACTCCAGCTTGTCTTCTGCAGATAAAGCTGGCCTGTGAGTGCAGGAAGATATTGAAAGTGCAGTAGAAAGCAAGTGTGCCAGGGATGAAGGCATGTTGGCTAAGCAAGCAGACATTTCTAAACAAGGTTTTTAACTCAAGCTCAAAGTAGTTTGAGTTATCTTTATACAGACATCATGTTTTGGCCCCCAAGAATATCTGGGAAATTTTTCAGGTGGAATCAGCTTGCTAAGATAAAGATGCTAAAGTCAGAAAGAGGCTAAATTATCAGTAATGCTGGCAGGGTTGCTGCTTGCTTCCAGCATTTCAGGTCAGAGGCTTTTCCAGCACTTTTGGAAAGCAATGGTGATTTGGTTTTGCCTGAAGGTTCGGAAATTCATTTTGAGTTACTTTTGATTCGCCTTAAACTAGTCTAGGAGCAACAATGTCAGATTGCCCTTAAAGGAACTGCACTACGTTGTATTTTGTGTGTAGAAGAAAGGGTACCAACAGAACAGAAAAGACAGAGGAATGTTACAGTTTTTCTGAGAATAATTGATAGCAGTGAAACAAAGACTTCTGTCAGAAATGAAATCAGTTCCCTAAACTGTGCTCTTCAAGCATGGTGCAATTCTTTGTATTTATATGCCCTTAAGGTGTGCTAGTGATGTTAGAAGTAAAAAAAAATAATAAATTCTGGGTCCTTAGTGAACAGAATTTGCAGTGCATTGCGGAGATGGTAGGAAGGAAAGAATCTAGTAAGAAACATGGAAAGGCACCATCAGCTTTTCTCATTGCAATTACAGTTTCTCTAAAACCAAGCTGCTGCACACAGGGAGCACTCTGTGAGCTGCCCTTGCCTAATTTGTGCCTCTGCCGCTTCAAGAGAGTGGTGCAAAAACATCCCAAATGCTTTTGGGCATTTCAGACCAAACTCAAGTTAGAGAGCCTCTTTTCTCTTTCCCGTTGGCCTTTTCATTTCTTATTTTACAAGGTTAATCGTGCTGAAAATACGTTTGAGATGAATGCTTTGCAAAATGGTCCCTACAAGAACAACTGAGTGTATTTTTCTTGCCACAAGCATAATGAATACACGTTACCTGAAAATCTGCCATCCTCTATTTCCCAGTCCTGTCATTCAGCACAGTGATTTCTGTTTTTTCCAATAATAGTGATGTGTAAACCATACCTATATGACCCCCATTAGTGTTTCATGGGGTGAGTTCAACATTTTTATTTGCTCTGCACTTGTGATCAACATGGACAATCAATTCTAATTCCATCATTCTTTAGACTTTTGTAGGTTTTAATAAGGACCTTAGAGATTCCCTCCCCCTCCAAAAAGAATAACTTAGGCTCAGTAATTAGGCTTCATACAGTCACAGCTCACACAGAGGAACCTAACAAGTTCTTTATTGCTCCCAGGAGACCAATTAACCTTCTTTTAAATATATGTCTATATAGCTGCAGACACACACACACACGGAGGAACACACATATACACAAGCTTCCCAGTAGTCTCAGATGCTGCAGCTCCTTGTTAACCAAATTCTGATGGGGCTTCCAGCAAGAAGCCAAGGCTGAAGCAACCTGCTCAAGTCCTTTAAACTCCATAGATGCCAACACCTAAAAAAAAGCACAGTATCTCCTGCCTCTGGGGGAGGAGGAAGGGGATAACTATATGACTTCATTCCTTAAATTTCTCCTCCATCTCCTGAGCTTGGATAGGCAGCACACAGTGGTCTCCTTCGTTCACAGCTAAGGAGCCTGCTTCCCATCTGTGTTTCAGATAAGGGCTGATAAGGATTTAGAGAAGAGCAATGTTTTCTGCCTCTATCCCTTCAATTCAGTACCTCTGATTCCCTGTCCCCAGAGGCTGTGAATAGGAAGGTGGCAGTTTTACATAGCTCTTGGAGGAAAGCTTCTCTTTAAATCACAGGTGATTCCTCTTGACAATTCCACTTGACTTTCAGAGCAGAAGCCAGAAGGCCGTTATGGAGAAGGGTGTCTGATGAGAAAATTAGCAGATCTCTACTCTTCCCCTCCCCCAGGGTCTTTGCTCTGCTCTTTTCTGTGCTTGCCTGTTGACATTTAATGAAGCTGTTTCTAATGAAGCTGTTTCTAATGAAGCTATTAGAGCGCTGCCTTCCTGCTGTAGGAGGGGCTAAGTGTGGTGTTGAGATGATGGAATAGGCTGAGGTCTGGCCTGTTCCTGCTTGGTGTTGTCCCTTGCACTACGGCAGATTACCCCAGTGGT